TAGATGAACTAACGCTTCACCCCATGCTCAGTTCTAAGAGATGACTCTGTACGAAAGCCATCTATCACTTAGCTTGTAGGGAACACACAGTTACTTTTGATTGGGGAAATACACTACATACATATAAATGAGGAGGTACTAGTTCCAAGTCGGTTGAAAAGTGCAAAATGCATGAAGTTCAGACCGGCACTAGTTAATATACTGAGACAACAGAGTAAGTGTTTCTATTGCTAACTATTTCCTTTGTGCTATATGAATGAACGTCTCTACACATGCTCAATTCTGAGAGTTAAATGAGTGTGAAACCCATTAGTAAGCTAACTTTTTGGGAACACACAAACTCTTTTCAGTGGGAAACAACACTAAATACCTATATATGGGGAGGTACTAGTTCCAACTCGGTTTTACAGTGAAAGCTGCATGAACTTCAACCCGAAATAGGAAACATGCTGAGAACACAGAGTAAGTGTTTCTACTGCAAATCATTCCCTTTATGCTAGTTGAAAGAACGCCTCTCCACATGCTCAGTTCTGAGTGTTGAATATGTGCAAATGTAAACTGTGACTTAGCTTGTAGGGAAAACATAGTTTCCTTTGAGTGGGGAAATACTCTACATATATCTATATTGGAAGGTAATAGCTCCAAGTCGTTTTTACACTGAAAACCGCATGAATTTGAAACCAACACTAGGAAACATACTGAGAAACCAGAGTAATTATTTCAAGTTCAACCTCTTCTGTTTATGCAAGATGAAAGAACGTATCTTAACATTCTCAATTCTGAGAGAAAGTGAGTGTGAAAGCAGTCAATCACATAGCTTGTTGGGGAAACACAATCTTTTTCATGGGGAAAATACATGACATAATTTTATATGGGGAGGTATAAACCCCAAAACGGTTTTACAGTGAAAACTGCATGAACTTCAAACCGGCATGAGGAAAAAGACTGAGAAACCAGTGTAAGTGTTTCAACTGCAAAGAATTCCCTTCATCCTAATTGAACGAAAACCTCTACACATGCTCAGTTATGAGGGATGAATGTGTGCAAATATAAAACATCACTTAGCTTGTAGGGAAAATATAGTTTCTAAAGAATGCAGAACAACACTACATATATATATATATATATATTGGGGTACTACCTCCAACTAGGTTTTACACTGAAAAATACATGAACTTTAAACGGACACTAGGAAACATCCTGAGAAACCAGGGTAGTTCTTTCTACTGCAAACCATTATCTTTTTGCTAAAAGAACGAACGTCTCTCCACATATTCAATTCTGAGAATTAATTGAGTGTGAAAGCCGTCAATCTTCTAGAACCTTGGGAACACACAGATTCTTTTCAGTGGAAAACTACTCTATATACATATATATAGGGAGGTACAAGCTCCAACTCGTGTCTAAAGTGAAAAGTGTATGAACTTCAAAACTGCACTAGGAAGCATACTGAGAAACCAGAGTAAATGTTTCAACTGCAACACATTCCTTTCATGTTAGATGAAAAAAATTCTCACCTCATGCTCAATTCTGAGAGTTAAGTGTGTGTGAAAGCCGTCAACCAACTAGCTTGTTTGGAACACAAATTTTATTTACACTGGAAAACTACACTATATAAATATATATGGGGAGGTAATATTTCCAAATCGATTTTACAGTGAAAACTGCATGAAATTCAAACTGGCACTAGGAAACAGACTGAGAAACCAGAATAAGCGTTTCTACTGTAAACCTTTCCTTTTAGGTTAGATGAACGAAAATCTCTCCACATGCTAAGTTCTGAGATTTAGGTCAGTGTAAAAGCCATCAATTACCTAGCTTGTTGGGAAAACAAAGTTTTATTGAGCGGGAAACTCCACTGTATAAATATATATGGGATGGTAATAGCTCCAACTCGGTATTACAGTGAAAAATGCATCAACTTAAAACTGGAATTAGGAAACATACTAAGACCCCACAGTAAGTGTATCTACAGCAATCCATTCTGTTTAGGGTAGATGAACGAATCCCTCTTCATATTCTCAATTTCAAAAATTGAATTTGTGTGAAAGCCAAAAATCACAAATCTCCTCGGGATCACATAGTTTGTTTACAGTGAGGAACACACTACATAAATATACATCGGCAGGTACAGTTTCCAACAAGGTTTTACAGTGAAAACATCATGAAGTTCAAACCGAAAATATTAAACATACCTTGAAATCAGAGTATGAGTTTCTAGTGGTACCTATTCTCTTTATGCTATATGAATAAACGTCTCTCCACTTGCTGAGTACTGAGAGTTAAGACTGTGTGGAAGCCATCAATAAACTAGCTTGTACGGAACACAGAGTTTCATTCAGTGGGAAAACAATCTACATACATATATGTGGGGGTAATAGCTCAACTCGGTTTAACAGTGAAAATTGCATGAACTTCAAACAGACACTAAAAAAACTACTGAGAAACCAGAGGAAGTGTTTCTACTGCAAACCATTCACTTCCTGCTAGATGAATGGACTTCTGTCCACATGATGAACTCTGAGAAAAAGTTTGTGTGAAATCCGTGAATCACCTGGCTTGTTGTGAACAGATAGTTTCATTCTACAGGAAAAAAATTTATACATACATATAGGGAGGTAATAGCTTGAACTCGATTTAACGGTGAAAACTGCATGAAAGTCTAAGCGGCTCTAGGAAACATAATGAGAAACAAGAGTAAGTGTTATAAGTGCCACCCATTCACTTAATGCTAGATAGACGAACGACACTACACATGCTCAATTATGAGAGAGATGTGTGTGTGAAAACCGACAATCACCTAGCTTTTTGGGAACACAAAGATTCTTTTCAGTTGGAAACAACACTACAAACATACATATGGGGAGGTACAAGCTCCAACTCGGTTTTACATTGAAAATTGCAGGAAATTAAAATCGGCACCAAGAAACAGACTGAGAAACAAGGGTGAGGGTTCCTCCAGAAACACGTATCCATTGTGCTAGATGAACGAAAGTAGTTCCGCATGTGTATCTTTCAACTGAAAAGAAAGTATGTGTTCCCAACAAGTTAGGAGAAGAACGGTTTTGACACACACTTATCTATCAGAACTGAGCATGTGGAGAGATGTAATTTCATTTGGCACAAAGAGAAAGGATTGTAGGAGGAACAATTACTCTGGTTTCTCAGTCTGTTTCCTAGTGCCGATTTGAAGTTCCTGCACTTTTAACTGTAAACCTGAGTTGGAGCTTGTAACTAACCGTATATATGTTTGTGGTGGAGGTTGTAAGTGAAAACAATATTTGTGTTCCCAAAAAGGTAGTTGAAGGATGGCTTTCACACACACCTATATCTCAGAACTGAGCATGTGGAGAGACTTTCGCTCATCTAGCACCAAGGGAACGAGTTGCATGAGAAACACTTACTCTGGTTTCCAGGTATGTTTCCTAGTGCTGGTTTGAAGTTCCTGCAGTTTTCACTGTAAAACCGATTTGGAGCTTGTACTTCCCTATATATATGTATGTAGTGGAGTTTGCATCTGAAAAGAAACTTCGTGTTTCCTTCAAGCTAGGTGAAGGACGGCTTTAACACACACTAATCTCTCAGAACTGAGCATGTGGAGAGACGTTCGTTCATCTAGCACAAATGGAACGGGTGGCCGGAGAAATATTTTCTCTGGTTTCTCAGTCTGTTTACTAGGGCCGGTTTGAAATTCCGGCAGTTTTCACTGTAAAACCGAGTTGGTGCTTGTACCTACCCATATATATGAATGTAGAGGAGTTTGCAACTGAAAAGAAACTTTGTGTTCCCAACAAGCTAGGTGAAGGATGGCTTTAACACACATTTATATCTCAGAATTGAGCATGGGGAGAGATGATCGTTCATCTAGCACAAAGGGACCGGGATGCAGAAGAAACACTTACTCTGGTTTCTCAGAATATTTCCTTGTGCCGTTTTGAAGTTCCTGCAGTTTTCACAGCAAAACCGAGTTGGAGCTTGTACTTCCCCATATATATGTATGTAGAGGAGTTTGCAAGTGAAAAGATACATTGTTTTCCCAACAAGGTAGGTGAATGACGGCTTCCACACACACATGTCTCACAGCTGAGCATGTGGAGAGACGTTCGTTCATCAAGCACAAAGGGAACTCTATGCAGGGGAAAAATTACTCTTGTTTCTCAGTCTGTTTCCTAGTCCCTGCATGAGTTTCTTGCAGTTTTCACTGTAAAACCGAGTTGCAGCTTGTACCTCCCCATTTATATGTATGTAGTGGAGTTTGCAGCTGAAAAGAAACTTTGTGTTACCAAAAAGCTAGGTGAAGGACGGCTTTCACACACACTTATCTCTCAAAACTTAGCATCTGGAATGAAGTTCGTTCATCTAGCACAAAGGGAACGGATTGCAGGTGAAACAAATACTCTGATTCCTCAGTCTGCTTCTTAGTGCCGGTTTGAAGTTCTTTCATTTTTCACTGTAAAACCGTGTTGGAGTTGTACCTCCCCATATATATGTATGTAGTGGATTTTGCAACTGAAAAGAAATTTTGTGTTCCCAACAAGGAAGGTAATGGACGACCTTCACACACACTTATCCCTCAGAACTGAGCATGTGGAGAGACGTTCGTTCATCCAGCACAAAGGGAACGGGTTGCAAGAGAAACACTTACTCTGGTTTCTCAGTCTGTTTCCTAGTGCCGGTTTGAAGTTCCTGCCGTTTTCCCTGTAAAACCGAGTTGGAGCTAGTACTTCCCCGTTTATATTTATGTCCTGTTTTTTCCCACTGAATAGAATCTCTGTATTTCTCAGAAGCTAGGTAATTAACTGCTTTCACACACAGTTAACTCTCAAAATTTTGCTCATGGATAGACTTACATTCATCTGAAATAAATGAATGGGTTGCATTAGTAACACTTATTTTGGTTTCTCAGTATGTTTCTTAGTGCCCGTTAGAAATTTATTCCATTTGTTTTTAAACTGAGTTGAAGCTTGTACCTCCCCTTATATATATCTGTAGATTAAAATCAACTGTGTGTTCCGAACAAGCTTTGTTATTGTAGTGTTTCATACATATTCATCTCTCAGGTTTTATCATGTTCAGAGACTATTGTTCATGAAGCATTAGTGTAATGTGGAGCAATTGTAATGCTCTGATTTCTCAGTATGTTTCCTAGTGCGTGTTTCAATTTTGTTCTGTTTTCTCTGTAAAACATTGTTTTAACGAGTGCCTCCCCGTATACATTTATGTAGTGTGTTTCCCCAATCGAAAGGTAACTTATGTTCCCAACAATCCAAATTATTGTCGTCTTTCACGCAGATTCAGCTCTCAGAATTGTTCATGTGGAGAGGCGTTCATTCATCTAGCGTTAAACGAGTGGGGAACCGTAGAAACAGTCTGATTTCTCAGTATGTTTCCTTGTCTTTTTTGAAGTTTATGCAATTTTCACTGTAAAACCGAATTGTAGCTAGTCCTCCCCTTATATATATATGTGTTTTGATTCCCCATAAAAGAGAGGCTGTGTTTTCCTTACAAAATAGTGAATTGTTTGCTTTCACACACATTTAACTCTCAGAAATTAGCTGTGGAGAAACGTTTGTTAATCTAGCCTAATAGAAATCTATTGCAGTAGAAAGTCTTACTCTGCATTCTTCTATGGTTTCTTAGTGCCTGTACAAAGTTCATATAATTTTCACTATAAAACTGAGTTGCAATTAATACCTCCCCTTATATATGTAT